GTTTGAAGCAGCATGATGGTGCTTTTTGACGGGGTCTGTGCGACGCGCGTTTTCTATGTGTCTTTATGTACCGTACTGCTTCGTGCATGTCTGGACAGAACGTCTGTAAACCTTGCCGACTATTTTACGCTCTTCTGACTAGCAGAGTTTTCTCGCAACGCGTACACTAGCGTTCATCCTCGAGCCAACACGGACACTAGGGACAACGCTAAATCTTCGACGCCACGTGTATGCCAAGTGATACCACGTGATGCCACCTGATGTGGTTACATATGGGCAACGTCTTTGACAGACGTTCTATGAGGTGTTCAGAGTCGTCTCACTTCGGTCGTCGTCTTGAACCAGTGTCTCCTCTATTTCACCAATGGCAGCCATATGCGCCCCATTTAGCTGTTTGCTGCTATCGCCCATCACCTAGCTTTTGTGTGTGCTTAGTAGTCATGGGGAGTGAACCCTTTATGTATTGTTTCGAGACGAAAATCGTATGAAGTGATATTCGTTCAGTTGCGTACAGACACGTGAAGCGTTGTCTTGAATTCCTAGTGTTGGGGGAAGTGGTTTAAAATAAGCGAAACAAACAGTGAACACCGCAACTGACTTCAGCTCTGCAGTAGCTCGCAGGGGAATTGGATAAAGAGGGATTAACAAACTACAGTGAAAAGTAGAGATTGAGAAAAAAGTATTGTGAGACTATCGAAGGAGTCAGAGGATGGGCCAACGCTCGGCGAGACCTCCACGAACATAGGAGTTCGCGGACGGTGGCCCGATCGGTGAGAGCTGCGCTAGCGTCGGAGATTATGACGACATGATTGCAGTAGCTCTGTAAAAGAGACGGTGTTTTAAGATAGTGCGTCTCCGTTTGCGGCACTATGCGGGCAAGCAAAGCATACGCGTCACTCCGATAGTGCTTCATGACAAGCGCTGTGAGGTAGTGGTGGGCCAAAAGGAAGGAGCACGAAGCAACAAATCTGACAGACGCTTGATTCAAACGTGGGAAATACCTCTATCGAATTTCGGTAAGAAAGCGCTTGGACGCAGGTGTGACGCAAGCAGCGCTACCCATCATGTAGCGTCGAATCACTCCCGCTCCCTGAACTACCTGGACCAGCGTAAGCAGTACTAGTGTTTCTTGTAGGAATGTAAATAGTAGCTAATTTTTATTTGCCTAGTTGGCGACACGGCTAAGCTCCTTGTAGGGGTAAGTGATAAGAATAAAAATAACAGTATAAAAACAAGGACAAATAAGACGGAGCACTCGCCACAGATGAGCAAAGAAAGAAAAGAGATAGGAACGATGGGGGACACAGTTGAAGACGTCCAAACATTGGGCACCAATCGGCGAAAGCTACATGGTGCCAGGAGATTGTGGATGGCGGTCGAATCATCGAGAGGTACGCTGGCGTAGAAGATCGCGGACGACACAACCGTTCGTCCTGAAGTACACCACGTGAGTATGGCGTACCGACGGGTCGTGTTGAGGAGCGGGCGTTTGCACTGGCATTGAATGGAATAAATGAGGTGGTGCTTTAACAGCCCGACAGCAGCATTCCTCACCGTCAAGACCACATGGCATTGTAAAGCAATGATTTCCCATTTGTATAGCCGCGTCATTATACAGAGCGTGAGAACAATACGCCTAGACACACATTACAAATCAGTGCCAACATACATTCCTATTGGGTGATTCTACAACGTACAATTTCATGTGGTTTACCGTCCGAAAACCCCGACATAATTCTGAGAGAAGCCATAGTGTATACAATATGGCGTTTCTGATAATTTTATTCACGCGAGGTTATCTACTTACAGCTAAGTCTAAATACAGGGACCTCCAGCATCTTCCCCTGCATAGAAAATGCAGTCACCCGGGCGGGATTCAATCCCACCGCTTGTGGCTGAGCAGTCGAGCATCCTAACCACTGGAGCGCCATGGGCGTATTCTCAAATGTATGTGGGCGTTTGTTTGCACTGGCCTTTCTTTGTTGGTGTAATGCTGTCAGCTTCCCTTTTCTGGCATGCGTTTATTTTTGAACTGTGCCCTTGCAGCACTGGTGATGTAGACCTGTTATTTAATGTGCAACTAGTACGTTGAATTAAAATGGCTGAGCATCTGCAAGCTTGCCTAGGAGCGTGAAAGCAGCTCTTCTGGCATGATAGACTCTCTGCTACAAGGGTTCAAATGGTCAACATGTCTTTATTATCCTGATGATGTCGTTGTATATTCCTCAACATTTGAGACCCACCTCAAGCGTTTGTCTGTGGTTCTCGACATCTTTCGCACTGCTGGCCTTCAACTAAACTCGTTCAAATGTCTCTTCGGCCGCCAGCAGATTACAGTGTTAGGACACCTTGTCAACGCATCAGGTGTGCAGCCTGACCCGGAGAAAATTCGTGCCGTCACGATCTTTTCTTCACCCCAGTCTGTCAAGGACGTCCGGAGTTTTGTGGAACTCTGTTTCTATTTTAAAAGGTTCGAAAATATTTTGGAACGATCGCTCGACCACTCACCGACCACCTGAAGAAAGACGTGACTTTTACGTGGCGTTCAGCTCAAGCTGCGGCTTTTTCTCACCTCATCACCCACCTCACGGCTCCAACAATATTGGCCCACTTTGAACTGTCTGCTCCGAGAAAGTGCGAACCGATGCGAGTGGTCATGGAATTGGAGCCGCCCTAGCCCAACGCCAGCGGGAAGACGACCGAGTTATTGCCTACGCTAGCCGTCTGCTCACAGCTACCGAGCGCAACTATTGAATAAAAGAGCGGGAATGTCTTGCTCTTCTTTGGGCAGGCACGAAATTCCGCCCATATTTATATGGCACGAATTTCTCTGTAATAGCGGACCACCAAGCGCTATGATTTTCGTCACTGAAGGAACCTACTGGCCAGCTTCGGCGCTGGGCTCTGCGACTGCAAGAGTACACCTACACGGTGACGTACATGTCTGGACGCCTACATCAGGACGCAGACTGCCTGTGCGCTACCCGGTTGCTGAGTCGAGCACTGTGCCTGACACTGACACCGAGCTTTGCGTCTTTTCCCTTTCGAAAATGACATACATCGGTGACGAGCAGCGCCATGATGCGTCCTTGCGTGCGATCATTGAGCGCCTCGAATCTCACCATTTTGCAATCAGTCCCATCGCTCATTCGTGCTCCACGATGGTGTATTATACCCCCGAAAGCTTTGAGCCGGATGGACCAGCCCTTCTACTTGTCATTTTGAAACACCTTCACTCGGAAGTTCTACATGAACTTCATGACCTTCCAACTGCTGGTCACCTTGGTGTGTCACGCACTTAGACTGAATAAGCCGATGCTTCTTTTGGCCAGGGCTTGCACGCTCATTCAGAAGATACGTTGCGGCTCGTGAGAAATCTCAGCGCCGCAAAACACCATCGACACTTCCCGCCGGACGCCTTCAACCACTTGACATTCAGTCACAACCGTTCTTTCGTGTTGGCTTGGACCTACTTGGCCCTTTCCCCTTGTCTTCCTCGGGTAACAAGTGGATAGCCGTGGCCACCGACTACACCACGTATTATGCACTCACACGAGCTCTTCCAACAAGCTGCGCCACAGATGTCGCCGACTTCCTCCTCAAGCAAGTAATTTTGCAACACGTAGCCCCATGGCAACTGCTTACAGACCGTGGCTGCACGCTTTTGTCGAAGGACATGGCCGACATCTTGCAGGCCTGTAAAACAAGACACAAGCTGACTACGTCCTACCACCCGTAAACCAATGAAGTCATGGAGCGTCTCAATCGAACTCTTACAGACATGCTTGCTAAGTATATTTCTATGAACCACACTGACTGGGATCTCGCGTTGCCGTACGTGGCATTTGCCTACAATTCTTCGCGCCATGACACAGCCAGTTACTCTCCATTTTTTCTGCTGTTTGGCCGAGAACCAACATTGCCTCTAAACAACGTCATACCGTCCCATGCAGTACCGACGAGTGAATATACCATGGACGCTATCGCTCGGGCCACTCACGCTCGCGAAATCACCCGTACTCGCCTTCTGACCTCTCTAGAGAAGCAACGGCGTTTGTATGACCAACAACACCACGACGTACACTTTCCGCCCGGTTCTTCCGTCCTGCTCTGGTCTCTGACCCATCAAGTTGACTTGTCAGGAAAACTGCTAACTCTTTACACAGGTCCATACTGAGTCCTCCGTGTGGTTACTCCTGTAACATATGAAATTGGTCCTGCCACCCCGCCGCTTTCATGTGCCCAACAGGCTACCGATATTGTGCATGTTGCGCGCTTGAAGCTCTACAACTCTCCTATTGACGTTGACAATTAGATGCGCCGAGACGGTGCTTGTGCCACCGGGGGTTGTGCTACATGCATGTATTTTGATATTCTAGAGGGCGACACGCGTGTGTGCCTGTTGAGGAAGACGAAGGGTTGTCGCTGCTTGATAACTGGTGAACCAGTCACGCCATTACCGCTGGTTTTGAATACATCTAATCCCCAGTCTCGTCGATATATAATCCCCAGCCTCGTAAAAATATTTTTTCTGATTAACATCCCAAATGATCTATTAAACCATCCTAACATGCCTACCAGCTTAAAAAAGCGATTGCGAGGACAGTGAGCCAATACTGCATTTTCATTTTTTTACAAATATTGGATATCTTTCATGAAACACCTGGTATGTTCGGTAAGTACTTTTAATATTGGGGCCACGATAACATGGTGTACAGATATTTTCGTTGCAATATTCTGTTCCACATAAACTTAGGATTCAAAGTAATGCACACTATTTCCCAACACTATGAACCTCGCATGACCTAACGAATCATTCCGACATAAACAATCAACTTCTTACCATTGCGTGAGCCCAGTACTCGGAGAAGTGAAGACCCTTTTAATTTTGCGAACGGCGAGCTTTTCACTTTAAATACCAGGTGGCGATAGACCGAGTGAAGTTCTTTCTGCATAAAAGAGCTCACACGTATAGCAGCTGCTCATGCCCGCCGTGAGGACTGCCGGAGAGATAGGTATTCTTTCCACTGAACCGTCGCTTGTGCAACTGCCAACTGTACTCCGCCACGATGCCAGATCTTCGGGAAAAAGTTGCATTCATCACTGGTATGGGAATTCCGAAACATATTACTTTCATTATAAAGTCCTGCTATTTGATTACAGAATTGTCGCCTCTTGTACTAGCCTCTGGGAGCCACAAAATAAGAGAATTCATTTTCAGTTGGTGCGCAATTACTCTCGAATAACATCGCCAAGTTTCACTCGCAAACTTTGCGAAAAAAGGAAAAAAAACTAATCATGCACTAAAGTTTGCTTGAAACCCTTAACATGCCTATACTTTGAAAGTGCACGATGCTATCCGCACTAGCTCTGCCCACGGAAAACGATCTGTTCACTGAATGTACGAAGTGTCTTTCAGCTTTTCATTACAGCTGTGCGTTAGTATTTGCACCAGGTCACGGTTGTGCCCACAGTTTTTAGTGCTCACAGTTTGCGGAAGCGCAATGCTTGCGAATAGCAAAATGAATTGTATTTCATCGTTGTTTGATGACGGGAAGAATATTATGTATAATCATCTACTGTGAGCGTTGCAAGTTACGGCACTCAGTGTTAAAAAAAAACATGCGTACAGGACATTCCACTTCAATTGTGTACTAGTCTCTCCCTACGTTTAGAGGTAGTGGAGACGCGTTATCGAAACAATATATACATAGGTGGCTAAAGGGTAGTTTATTATATCGTTCTGTGAATGGCCAGTTACTAGCACGGTAGGTTATTCGCAAAATATATTAACAGTGGCCGTCCAGCTGACCAGTTCAGCTGAGAGAGCAAGCAGCGAGAAATTTTCGTTCTCATGGTCGGCCGCACACGGGCGTAGTGCAAGAGCCTGCAATGTGCACATCGTATAATCCCCTGGGGCAGATGCGCCATCTCTGCGCGAATAGACGTCAATACCACCGGGAGAGTTGTACGGCTTGAAGCTTGCGAGGTGTATGATGTTGCCGGCCTGAAGGAAGGATGAAGACAACGAGGTGATAATGTTTGTTACACGAGTTTGCAATGATGGTGGCGTGTTGTCCAACGTACATATTGTTTTATAAATACTCTAGAACAGTATGCGCAACTATAGATAAAGCCCAGCTCCACCGTAGTGTTTTAGTGACTAAGGCACTCGAATGCTGACCTGCAGGTCGCGGTATTTAATCGTGGCTGCGGCGGCTGCATTTTTGATGGAGGCAAAAATGCTGGAGGCTCTTGTACTCAGATTTGGGTTCATGTTAAAGAAGCACAGGTCGTCAAAATTTGCGGCACCCTCCACTAAAGCGTCTCTCATATTCATATGGTGGTTTGGAGACGTTAAATCCCACATATCAATGAATCAATCACTGAAAACAAAAGCACACGCAGGAGGCATGGAAGAAAGATATTTTTATACTATGCTGACATTCATTATTCGCGTAATAAGCAATTAGGTAACGCAGATTTCACATATCCTCCTGAGTTCCAGCTATGGGGATTTGTCCAAAATATTGGACATGAAATACCCCATCACTACAAAGATCTCAGCATGTTTTCTTTCTCAAAAACCACTTGTCCAATATTTTGGACATCTACTGGCGCCCTCCATGAAGTTTTGTCAAAATAGCGCCAGGAGATCGCGAAACAAAGAAGAAAACATGGTGGCGTTCAACAGGGCAATCTTCTAGAAGTTAAACGGCGAAAGTTAAGGTCCACTTTTCTGTTGGTTTTTTATTATTTGTTAAATTTTGAATAACAACTTGCAGTTATTCCGGAATTTGTCACACTTTTCTTCAGTAACCTTGCTTTGTGTTGCTTCAGGCCCACTACTTAACGCTTTAATTAAGTTTCAGCATCCAATTAGTTGGACATCACGCCATACCAAAAGCACAGGCATAACGGAAATAATAAGCTTCACTTTTTATCTTCGTCACCTACACACCCAGTTGTGAAAGTTTCAGGAAATTCCGTGGACCAAAATCCAACCCGGAAGTCAGGAGGATATATAGACGGTAAGTGTTGTGGGGGAGCTTCCATGCTTTTAATTAAAGGAGAGGGACTTGCAACGCAGGACGTGTTACGGTGGCTCAGCAAACCTAGCGAATTGGCGACGTATGATTTACACTATAGCAGTTTCCCATCCACACTTGCAAGGTATCTCTGAGCGTCATCATAACAGCGAGCTCCGCAATGTATAGTATCAAGCAAGCGTATCATGGTTTTTAAAGGTGACTTTTCGAATTCTAGGCTCTGGCAATTTCACTGTTTTGGCGGTAATTATGTCTGCGTTCAGTCAATGTTCTGACACGGCTTTGAAGGACACTCGAGGCGGCATTTCTTAACAGAGTTCTGAGTTCTTCTGTCACGTATCACGTTTGTAGTCTACGCCTTAAAATTAAAGGCAGTGATAGCATAATTCAGAAGGCATTATTCAGCCATAGTACTGACATTATTTCAAACGGGTAACGTTCCTCACCTACGCCTAAATGAAACGTTCCTCTTCTGTTTAAAGGAATATGGCTGACACCACGGCATCAAAGCGAACAATGCGGCTACACCTACGCGTTGTACCCATTTTTAACCGTTAAAATGTGTGCGCTCCTGTGACCCATAAACAAGAAACACTGAAACACACATCTCAATGTAATATCAAGCCATATGAAAAGTAAATTGAGTCGACAAGTTTGGGGCTATCATAACGCAAATATTCCTAACGACGTAACTCATGCATTTTACTCGGCTCGAAAAGCGACTTACATATTTTAAACGCTAGATTACCGCGAAAGACTCCTCACAAAATGAGTCTCATGGTGTAGTAGCGCTATCGACGTGTTTTCAGGGCAAAATGCACAGACACTTGTTTCATATTGTACGCTTGATCGCGATATATTACAGGTGTCGTATTACTCTCAGTGGATGTATTGTTTCAGCAACATGTATAGAAATGTAGGAGCTACGACGCCCCATCCGTGAAAGAGCTGGCACCTGGAGGTTATCAATCTCACGAAAACACAAGTTATCGTTTAGAAAGACAGAGAGAGAGATAAAGATGCAAGGAAAGGCAGGGAGGTTAACCAGATGCACATCTTGTTTGCTACCCTGCACTGGGGAAGGGATAAAGGGGAGAAAAGAGGTTGCAGAAAGAAGAGAAGGTACACACAATCACGAGCACACTCAGGGAGCACACACACTCTACAGCCGATCGCTCAGGTTTGTTGACTTTAGGTAAAGTAGCAGTGCTTTAGTTGTTTTCTGCGCAACTGAGGCAGATGCCCAAGGTCCTAGTATCTTCTGCACACAAAATGGTCCGGGGTCAAGTTGATTCAAAACCACCCGGAGCTGGCATCGCTGTGTGTCGTAGCAAGCGCAGCTGCACAGGACGTGTTCGATGGTCTCTTCAGCTCCGCAGTAGTCGCATCTAGGAGTGTCTGCCATACCAATGCGAAAGGAGTACACCTTTGTAAATGCAACACCCAATCAAAGGCGGCATAACAGTATCGCATCGGAGCGGGAAAGTTGTGATGGTAGCTTTAGCTTGAGCGAAGGATCCAGTTCATAAAATTTACACCTTTCGAAGCTGGTAGATGACAAGAACGTGCGTGTGTGATCGTTTACATCGTGTACGTTTACATCGTTATCGTTTACGTGCCAAGTGAAGGCACTATGTAAGGAGCTTCTGACGGGACGATTGGCGAGGCAAGCAAATTCATGGAAAACGCAAGGAAGCCGGTAAATTAATGCGAAGAATGTACAAAAACGCACATTTACAATGTGATGTAGAGACGTTTATTGTCGGACACTTGTCGATGATGCTTGACAGCGACAGTCAATGCGGGTACCGACTCTCTGCACGAGCTGCTCTTCTTTTTGCTAAAAGGGCGACCCACTACAAGGTGCCGGAGAGGGCAACCCACTGTTCGAAGACTTCGCCACAACTACCCCGGGTACGAAGAGGGAGCCGCCTCGCGACCTAACAGCTGGTTACTATGAGCGGGTCGTGGTAGGCTTTGAGGCGCTCCACGTGGACAATGCCGCGCCCTCGACGGCGCATGTCCAAAGATGGTTCGATGGGTTTAATCAAGTAATTTACAGGAGAAGTGCGTTCAACGACACGGTAGGGGCCTTCGTATTTGGGCGATAGTTTTGAAGATAGGCCAGTTGAAATGGTAGGGATCGAGAGCCAGGCAAGCGCTCCAGGGAGGAACGTGGGCGCAGTAGTGCTAGTGTCAGCGCGAATGCCTTTTTTTCCGTTCTTGATCATGCGCTGTAGAGGTCCTTGCAAGCTCTCGACACTCTTCAGCAAGCTTGGCTGTAGCAGAAATAAGCGCCCACTCGGACGGATCTGGCTTGTACGGAGGTAGAGTGTCGATGGTGTGCAACAGGGTGCCTTCCATATATTAAAAAGAAAGGTGAAAAGCCAGTAGTGCTCTGAAGGGCGGTGTTATATGCGTTGGTGACGAAGGGTAGGATGGCATCCCAATTTGTGTAATCGGCGGCGACGTACTTGGAGAGCATGTCGCCGAGCGTACGGTTGAAGCGCTCAGTGAGGCCATTCGTCTGTGGGTGGTAAGCAGCAGTTTTGCGGTGAACAACGTTGCACTCTTTGAGAATGACTTCGACGACTTCAGACAGGGAGACGCGGCCTCAATCACTGAGCAGTTCCTGAGGTGGACCGTGTCGCAGCATGAATTGTTGGAGGAGGAAGGAGGCCACATCGCTCACTGTGGCCGCGGGGAGAGCGGCAGTTTCGGCGTATCGCGTGAGGTGGTCCACAGCAACAATGGCCCAGTGGTTACCAGCCGACGTTAGTGAAAGTGGCCCATACAAATCGATGCCAACGCGCCCAAACGGCCTGGCAGGGCAAGGTAGAGGTTGCAGACCTACCGGTGACAGGTGCGTTGAAGTTTTGCGGCGCTGAGATTCTATGCAAGAGCGAAGGAATTTCTGCACGTAGCGGTGCATGTCGCGCCAAAAGTACCGTTGGCGAATGCGGTGGTAAGTCTTCGATACCCCGGAGTGCGCACATCGCGGATCAAAATGAAAGAGTTCGCTTATGTCAGAGCGCAGACTGCAGGGTATGACTAGTA